GACACATTCTTTGTCTTTGGTCATGAAGTCAATTTTGACTTTTTTTTCCTTCCCTGTTGTCTGGTTGATCCCTGTAGCTGTTATCTCTGTGGAGCCAAACATAATTTCCAGTTTGACTTTACTACCTATAGTCAAGTCTACAATGAATGAACCTTCCTCTTTTACATCAGAGTCATCTACATAGACTGGATATTTTCTTACTGAGCGGAAGAATCTCAGTTTCATCTGTTTCTGGTCATCTTTTGCTGGAGAACATAAGAACTTTCTGGTCTCCTCTGAACCAAGATCTTCACCTTCTTCCACCAGTTTCCTGAAAATATCTCGACTCCATTCAACACCTTTGGCTGTAAATTTCTTTTCTTTCTTATGTTTGATCTCATCAAACTTTTCACAAACAGCGAATCCATAAGTATAGGAACTTTTACGAGAAGCCACAATGTTTGGGTTTCTACCAAACTCTACAGCTCCTCTCAGAATCGCCTCCTGAGCTCTGAAAGGACACAGAACTTTACACTGATGTCCAAACTGGTCAGTAATGTGCTGCTGCAGAACTTTACTCTGAGCGTACCCACCCACTAACAGAATGTACTTGATGTTGAGACCACTGGTAAAGATTTCCATGAGATTCTCAGTGATGCCCTTCAGGCTTTCATCATAGAAAGATCTCATTTTGTCTCTTGAGATTTTGATGAAATCACCATCCCAGGAAGCACCAAGTTCTGACTTAACAAAGTTTTCTGTGCCTGATTTGTCTTTAGCTAACTTTTCCAGTGCTCTTGGACAGCTGATCTGAACATCTTTATCTACCTGTTTTAGATAGCTAAACTCATACATCATTCTCTGAGCTGCACTGAGAGAGTTTTGTTCAAATTCATCCCAGACTCCTTCAGTGAATATCTCTCTGAGAAACTGCTTAAATTTTCTGTCCACAGTTTGTCCTCCCAGATTATTTCCAGAGACTTTGTGTCGCTCCTTCAGGGCTCCTCCACCCAGGACTTCATGAACAGTGATGTCAATGGTTCCTCCTTAAATAAACAGA